AGTTCTTTCCCATCATCTTTCCCCTCGTGTTATTCGTATTGTGCCTTCTTTCATTTACATTTTCAGTTTGAAGGTGAAGAGGAGAGACTGGAACTAGCTCTGTATATAAAGAACAATGAAAGTATGGTTGTAGATAATCTCCATTAGAGAGTAGCCATGGAAAGTGCTGGACGAGGTGATTTTGTGGAAGGTAGAGTGGAAAAGAGTGGGACTCCCAAGTAATTAGGCAAGTGCAAGACAATCGAGTTAAGATTGTTTAAAACCAAAGGCAAATGTATCACTAAACAAATCACATAGCAACAACTATTTCATGATTATTTGAGAAAAAAAAACAAATACAACAAAATTGGATTGTCCGATATTTTCCTAATTACTTAAACAGTCCCAATCTTTTTCACTCTGCCCTCAAAAGAATCATCTCGTCCAATACTATGACTACTTTTTTATGAAGATAATCTCGAACCATTTTCTCCTCATTGTTCAACAGATATAAAGCTAGTTCAAGCCTCTCCTCTTTGACTGTTAAACTGAAAATGTAAATGAACAAGACATAAGAATAGTACGAAAAACATTGGAAAAAGAAGGTGAGGGAAATCAGCCACTTTTTTCTTCATTTCCCATGCACACTCATCCAAACAGTCACCGCATCTCATCAATTTCAACACAAAACCTCACAATCAAACCTACCAAAAAACATTAAAACCGAAAATGATATGAAAGAGACCATTATTAACCAAACAAGTCATGAGAAACAAAGCAAATTACATTACCCATTCTTTTGTCTTGGAGCATTAGCCACAACTTCGGTGGTGAAAGAGCATAGCATGTTACATTCAAATCTTCTAATAACCTTCGAAACATGGATAAAGTCAATTCACTTTTTTAAGGATACTTTGATAGGATTCCGAATTTAACTTGTTAATTCACTCATATTCATCATGATAATGAATTAATGATACGTCTAGAGATCACATGTCTTGTCACAATACACTACTTCATTTGAGGAGTTAAAATCTCAATGAGATACTTCTCTTATGTAACTCAAACTCCCATATTTTGGAGGGACAGAGCTGCCACTTGGCAGGACATATTCGTGTAGACAAATGCGTGGCACCTATGCACCCGACAACAATTTATGTTGCATTCAATTCTTGGGTTTGAATCCGAATTAGAATTGGATTTCCCATTCCCAGATGGTGTCCAGAAAGCTTACTTTTTTGGAGGGAAGCCAAAAAAGGTTGTTAATTCAATCAGACCCAGAAAGTAAAAGAAACAGAAGCGCTACTGAAATCGGTGAAAAAAAGCATAGGAGGGCAGAGGTTAGGTTAAGCAGAGATGAAGATCAATCATCTCCGACTGAGGGCAACGAGCTAAAGAAGGAGAACAACGAGCTCAAGCCAGAGGTGCTTCAAAAAATATCAAGACTTTTGAGTTTGTGTTCAATCTTCACTTGATGAAAGGGATTATGGATATCACGAATTTTCTTTGTCAAGCATTTCAACAAGAATCTGTTGACATTGTAGCTGCAGTTGGATTTGTTTCCATGGCAAAAGTTAAAACTTCAAAAGCTACGGGATGAAGGATGGGACAAGCTACTCCAAGAGGTAAAATCTTTTTGCTCAAAACATGCCATAGAGGTGCCTAATATGAATGCTACACTTGGACGTGGTGAGAAGCAAACAACTCTTGAGCACCGCTACCATTTTGAATACTTTAAATCAATGCATAGATTTTCAGTTGGGAACATTGAATTCAAGATTCAATGAGTCCTCAGTCAGATTGCTTCAGTTGAGTGGTGCACTAAACCCTAAAAGTTCTTTCCGGCTTTTTTATGAAGAAAATATTTACAGACTTGCTGAAGAGTTTTATCCTCGAGACTTTGAAGGCAATGAGATGAATTGTTTGAAGAATGAGGTAGGATATTATGCCGATCATGTGGTTCATAGTCAGGAATATGATGTTTCTTCCCTTGCAAAATTACTAGAGAAGCTGGTGGAAACAGGGATGGAGGCACGGTACAGATTGATTTGTCGGTTGATTCGTCTAGTGTTGACATTGCCTGTTTCAACGGCTACTACAGAGAGATCCTTTTCAGCAATGAAACATGTGAATACTGATTTGCGCAACAAGATGGGCGATGAATTTCTTGCTGATTGCTTAACTATTTTCTTTGAGAGAGAGTATGTTATTGGTATGGAGATGAAGACTCAATTATTGACGAATTTGCTAAATTAAAAGACCGTCGTGTACAATTGACATTGTAATGCAAACTATAATTTTTTTTGTTTACGGTATCTAATTTTATGTTCGAATCCGGCCCAGTGCACTTCTATATCCTGGATCCGCCGTTGTTAGAACAGCAAAGATCCTCTAGAACTACACATGTTGCATTGAACATGTTTATAATGCTCAATATGGAATGATAATGAGATCCCCAACGAGTTGGCCCCGAACGCTTTAAGGATGTCATTTGATTAACTCCTTGTCCAGATTGAATTTCTCCAGCATCCAACATACCATCAAGATCTTTTTTGTGAATTGCTTGCAACTCCCTGATTCGTTTAGGAGAAGCCTTCACAACGTTTATGATACAATCCAATATGGAAAAGAAATCTCATATAGGATCACATACCTTTGCAGAAGTAATCAATGCCAACTGTAATCTGTGAGCAAAACAGTGGACAAAATAGGCATATGGGCAATCTCTAAGAAATAATGCCTTGACTCCATTAAGATGTCCTGACATATTACTAGCACCATCATATCCTTGACCTCTCAATTTTTCAATTTGAAGGTCATACTGAGAGAGAACGTCACAAATAGCTTGTTTTAGTGTTTCTGCAGAAGTATCAGCTACACTCTTGACAGCAAAAAAGCGTTCAGTTACTATACCAGAAGAACTGACATACCTCAAAATAATAGACATATGTTTCCTTCCTGCTTCATCAACTGCTTCATCAACAAGTATAGAGAAACAAGAATCTCCAATCTCCTCGCGTATCTTACAACGCGCTCTATTTGCTATGATTCCCAATATCTCCTTCTAAATGCTTGGTGAAGTGTATTTCGCATTTCCTGGTGCGTTACGAAGAACTACACTATTGATTTGATCATTCAACTTCGCTGCAAAACCAATCCAAGCTAGAACATTCCCGGGATTCAAAGAATCATCAGATTCATCATGCCCTCTAAAAGAACTTCCTTGTAAAGCCAACTGTTTGACAACCATAATTGTTGTTTTCAACCGCAATCGATGCTTTAGAACTTCTTCTCCACCAATTCTGTGCATCACTTTATCAATATAACCGGAGGGTTTCATCAAGGCATCAGCCGCTGTAACACATTTATTATGGCTTGAAGAAGCTGATGAACCAACATGAACAAGGAACACACATTTCTTACCATTAACCCTCTTCCAATTATCAAATCCATCTTGCACTAGTGCAGAAGTTTGATTCACATTCATCTTGTCTCTAAACAAAAAACATGGGAAACAATATGCTTTATGTGTTGTAGGAGAATACTCCAACCAATCAAATTGTGAATACCATGCTTCTTGAAAGTGACGAATTTTATCTGGGTATTCTCGCGGCTTATAGTATGCGAGTTTAGTTTGATAAGCCTTGTGTATTAGGTATTTTCTCCTAACCTCATCTCTCAACTCAAGAGCTCAATCACATATTTGTTTCCTCTTTCCTGGATCTCTTTCAATTTCAACTCCACTATCAGATGATGGAAGTAGATTACCGGATACAGGAGAAGTAGATGATTCATTCTGAACTGGAGAGGAAGATGGTTGACCTTCATTAGGAGGGACTTCTTCGGTCTGACATGATTCAGATTCCTTAGGTTGATAGTAAGAAAACAATGTTGCTTTCACCTTTCTATTTGGTGGTTGAGAAGATGTCATGATGAAATATTTTGAAATCTGCATAACCAATTAAACATGTACGCAACACAGTCAAACACTAGATTCTAAGTAAATTTGGATACAAATTCTACCGAGTAAGATATATGAGAAATCCTAATATTAAATTCTATGTTAATGGATTAATGAATAATTGCACTGTACAAACTTAGTTTCTAAGTAAATAAGACTAACTAAACTAAGACAGTAAGATCAATTGGCAAATTGCAATTACCTGTTGCTGTTGTCCTTGTCGTCTAATCACTACTGTGAAGGGAATTGGCCGGAACTTAACATAAATAGTTGGAAACACCGCCTTGCTCTCTTCGTTACAATCCCAACAAGAGAATTACAACTATTTGTATCACTGCCCCTCTCTACGCACTTTCTTTGCAATAATAGACAGATAAGAGAATCACAAACGGAGAGACTCCATTATAGCCGCTGCGGTCTGCGGAGAAAGAACGAAGGCCAGCTAGCCAGGGGAGGGGATCTCCGGCGCCGGGTCAGGGTCTCGGGGAGGTGGGGAGCAACGAGCAGGTCTGGTCGTCTTTTTTTTTTTTTTTTTTTTTTTGGTCCCAGACTTGCAGGGAAAGCTAAAGAGGAATAGGGGGCGGGAGATTGTTAGTTTGGGTCTTTGAGATTTGTTTGGGCTGGCCTGCTGGGGCTGGGCCTTGGGACTGGGGTTGGGTACAAATAATTATGCATTATAATTATGGCTGGGTTGGGTCTTGGGGAGGCAGGGAGGGCTGGGCCCGGGCCTAGTGTCACCCATCCGCCGATGCAGTACAACAACTAAATTTTGCTTTCTCGCAGCCTATACCCTAACAGCAGTTTTACGAATTATCATGGTCCCAACTCCCAGGTGGCGAATTTTCTCGTGAAGCAAACAGAAAACGAACTCTGAGAAAAGATTTAAGTTGTTGCTGTTAGTTGCCTGGCCAAAGTTAAGCAAATCAACAGTCAGAAACAGCATGAGCAAGCTTAGACACTCCAGCCAGTGTTTCTATGACAATAGAATGACAGCTTGCTGCAGATTGTTCAGTACATCGATTTCTAAGCTTTCAGCTGCTCGGGCTGAAATATAAATGTGGTTAGGCTGGCACACAGTTTATTCCTGATGATAAGATGACTCATAGTTCAGCCTATCCTCTGTACTCTGCGGAGGGATCTCGTTGAATCCATGCCCTGGATAACTTTAAAAAACATACCTTCCACATCCTGATGAATGAATCACCTCCAGTGCATTCAGGATAAACAAACAGAAAACACATTGGTCACTTACAGAAAAGGTTTTCTTCGATTACAAGTTTACAACCATGTTTCAGCCAAGGAATATACAAACCCATAAAAATTAATGTAAGTTTTGCTGGTAAAGATGCAAAATTTCAAAGAACATATAGAATTGGAGAGAGAGAACGTGTAGCCGGTACAAGCCTCTGATGGTAGTAAGGAAAATCTCTAGAGTTTGGGTGAAAGTCAGAAGTTCTTAGTTAGCAGTTGGAATCCTCTGGCGCCTCTCGACGTAGGCTGATGGGAACCACCCTGATTTCCCTTTGCATTCTCCTTCTGACCACCCTGTTGGCATAACCTGTGAAGACAAACAATGAACGGAGAATTCACGAGCAAGTAGAAATTTATTTTTCTTCAGAATATCTCACAATAGACTACTTTGATTAATATGCTGACATTCCGTCACAATTCGACCAAATATGAAGATTACAACTGAATAGATCATCTCTTCCTTGTGGTTTTAATAAGATCATATCCTCCCAACCGGTCGAGGAAAAGTTTGAAAAGTTGAGAAACATAGATAAACACTAGTCTTTTCAGTGTCGGGACGACAAAGGCCACTCCACATGTTTCAGATGCCAAAATGCACAGTTAAAGCATGTCTAATGCTAGGCATAAACCACATGTATAATGCTAGGCATAAACCATTTCTTAAGATCAGAAAATGAATAAACATCACCTTACGAACAACAATGAAATCGCCGACTGCCAAACTAAGCTCCTTGTCAGTTTCTGCGTAAAAAGGATGAGTTGCCTGCAAGGGATTGATCAGTCATTTTTTTAACCATCAGTCTGTTTGTTTGTGAGGCACAAAATGTTTACTTGAAGGTGTGCCCTTTTATACAATGCACAAGTCCAATAGTTCAACATCCTAAAGAAACCGAAATTGACATAGAACTTACTTCAGCCAGGAAGTACGTGGTCTTTTCTGAGCCGTTTTCTAATGGTGTTACAGTAGATGGTATGACAGGAGGAGCTGCCTCTCTTTGTTGTTTGTCTGAAACCATCTGCATGTAGAATAATGGCATTAAACCACAAGCCTTGGACTGCAAAATTATTTCATCAAAATAAATGAATCACTCAGCTCTACTCATAATCAGTCCAAAATGACTAACCTCAGTTTCAACCTCACTGAGTATGGCACCAAGTCGCAAGTGATAGTTCTTTTCCCCTTCAACCTAAATTCAAGGGATGCATGTAAATCTAAAATAACACAACTTGTTGGGGGGAAAATTCACGAAAGTGGCAGGAAGTAAGTGTACCAAAGAAACAAGCCTTTGGAAGGTCAATCTTTGCTGCTGTGCTTCAACTGCAGCTAATGCAGCTGACGCTTCTTTACCGAGAACTGCCATGTTTGCCTTCAGTTCTTGCATTTTTGCCTCTGCTGCATGCAACTTTGCAACGTTCTCAGGGATGGGGGATTCCCTGACTCGTGCTTGTCTTCTGGAAACTTCAGTAGCCTGTTTCGCTAATAATGATTGAGGTGAATAAAGAATGTATAGATGGCCAAAAGAGGTAGTATCATTATCAGACCTAAGCAAACTCATAGTAACTTAACAGTGCTCGATATCTGGTTACCTGTACTTCAGCTTCTTGTCTCATTCGACTATAACGTTGAGCAAGATGTCGGGCATCTTCTAAAGGAGCGCCAGTAATCATTGCCCTTATAGGATCCAAAACCTGAGATAAAAATATCAAAATTAGGCTCCCAACCTACCTAGTCCAAACATGTCAAAGGATCATTATCCGCTAAACATAATCAACAGAACGCGTAAGGAAGCATCTAAAAAGGGTTAAACCTGAGAAGCAAGTAAGCCATTCAAATCCTCGGTCTCCTTTTCCACATGTTTACGAGCATCACCGTATATAGCTGCAGCTTTAGCCAGCATGGTGTCGCTAATGTTCTCAGTTCCATATCTGCAGCAATCCTCAGACAACTTGGTTCCTAACTACCAAGATCATGTCCGGTTAGTATGCATCCAAACAAATAAATGAACCAAGAGCAACCAAAACCAGCACCCACAAAAGCCACATCCATGGCCATTCAAATATGACAATAATATAATGGGCAATTCGACATTTACCTGCTTCGATATGCTTATATCCTATGGCAGTGAGTGCTTCTGCTGCTCTGACAATATCTTTTTGAAAATCCTGGACAAATAGAAAGTCAATTTGTGTTTGTGGAGCTTGGGAGTTTGGTAAATCAATCAATGATGAATGATAGTGGAAGGTTCAAAAATCAAAACTTACTCTCCCTGCTCGAGTCGTCCTGTAGAGCTTCTCCAGCTGCTGATGCCTCTGCAACTCGACCTCATCGATGACTACAGAATCCGAGCTCTCGTACCCACTTGCACTAAATTGCTTAATCACAGCCTAAAATCCAGTAGAACGAACCCATTACCAAACCAATCAAAATTCGAACTGCTACCAGAAAGCACACTCCCTCTAGGCCGCTATTCTTTCTTCCTAGCATTTTCTCGGGAAGCAAACGGGGGGGAAAAGGAGAGTTAAGAGAAGTAGGGGTGAACTCACTTGCTGCTGCTTGGCAACTTGCTCCCTGAGCCTGCTGGCTTGCTTCCGAAACGCGTCCATTCCCCCGGTGGCTAGCAACGGCGAGGGAGATAAAGGACAAGGTTAAGAGTTGCAGAAATGGTGAGCAGGGGGTTTGAACTTGGGATCGCAAAAGCCGAAAGTCAGATCTAATGGCTTTGAACTTGGTGAGCAGGGGGGTTGAAAAAACACGAAAGGCGATGAACTGTAGCTTGAAATGAAGCCGCTATTAGAAAGTAGAAACAAAAATTGAGATGCAAAAAAAAAAAATTGCCCATTCAACAAAAAAAAAATCTCCAATTTTCACTTTGAGCCAGGTCCATTCCTAAGCCTGTGATAGTACGAGATCCAAATTCAATGTTGGGCCTTCGCCCAGGCCCAAGACAGACACTCTCAGAAGCTGTAAACCCAGTCGATATGGGCCGTATGCATACGAACGATGTCGATTTATGGCGCGTTCACTTCCTGCGACGTGTTACGGACTTGCGGTGAGTTGTCCATAATTGCATACAGATTGAGATTAGCCACACACACGGTCTATTAAAGACCAAACAAATTAAAAGTGAAATCATCCATCATAATCGCTATTAGTATTCATAGATCATAAAAAAAACTTTTTTTAAGATCTCCTTGCCGACATAATAGAAAGAGATTGGAAAGAAATTTTTTTATAGATTCACTCGTCACTCCACTCCTCATCACCAAAACCATTATAACAAGTGATACAGATGAGGGAAAAAATCCAAAAGTACCCTTGTTTAAAAAAAAATCCAAAAATACCACCCTCACCAAATAATTTCCAAAAATACCATCGTTTATATAAAACCGTGCCTCTGATGAGCGGTTTTCAATGAAACCGCAGCCTAGAGGCGCGGTTTTATCACAAAACGCGCCACCAATGAGCGGTTTGACCTTGCATGGCTGTCAAACCGCGTGTCCACGTGGCGGTTCATTAAACCGCTCGCTGGGAGAGCGATCTAACGGCCAAAACGTGTGCCAGCTCGGCGATCCGCGTCGGCCAAGTAAACCGCGTCCCCGAGGCGCGGTTTGACTGTTCGGGAAAATCAAACCGCGTCCCCGAGGCGCGGTTTGACTGTTCGGGAGAATCAAACCGCGTCCCCGAGGCGCGGTTGACTGTTCGGGAGAACCAAACCGCGTCTCCGATGCGCGGTTTTCGTTGGAAAAAATTGACGAAATGGCCCTCGGGGACGCGGTTTGTACCCTATATAAACCCCCCTCCCCCTTCACTTTTCTGCACACCAACCTCATTCCCCCCTCTCTCCCTCTAACTTCTCCCTATCCACTCCCCTCCCCACCCAAAAACCTTAGAAACGTTTTTTTGTTGGTTGCGGCCTAAGTCCGATCTGCCTCCAAAAAACTTTTCTTTGGTTTTCACTAAAAAATCGTCGAACCTCTGTCCGGATTCCGAGAGAATGGCCGATTTCGCTCAAGAATAGGGCCTTTTTTTTACGATTATCAAACGGTACGTACTCATTTTTCCCAATTGTTGTTGTTGTTATAATGATTTATTTAATTTATATACTAATGATTTGTGTTATTGTTATGCTATCGTAGGTTGGGCCGGATGTTGATATTTTCAATCAACGATATTATGTTGAGCAAGGACCCATTGATCCGACAGTTTTATACGATCAAGCAAATCATCGTTCAAGAGACGTTTGGAACGACCACAAGGTACATATTATTTATCATCACTTGTAATTTGTATTTTGTTAAAGTAATTTATTTGTTTGTACAATAATTTACTTAATTGTTAATCGTATTGATTATTTTCAATAATTTAAATCAATACAATACAACACTTATTTAGACTCTTTATAAAGAAATGCATGTCTAAGGAAATGAGGACTTAAGCGATCATCATGATCCCCCCATGACCTGGGAAAATCGGGTTCTAAGCGATCCTCGGATCCCCCCTTTTTCTGTCAAAAAGACTGTGTTTCTAAGGAGATGTATACCTCTCCTAAGAGTCTTACGAGTGTACTTGTATTGCTTTAAATTATTGAAAATAATCAATACGATTAACAAAATATATATTTGGATATTATTTTAGTTATGTTAATATTAATGTTTATTAGACAATGTATATTTCTATAAAATCGCTTGATTTAATTAATATTGCATCTTAGGAAATTATTTTACTTATGTTAATATTAATGTTTATTAGATAATGTATATGTTAATATTAATGTTTATTAGAAAATGTATATGTTAAAATTAATGTTTATTAGATAACGTATATATAAATTGTATCTTATAATATATTTATATATGTATAAATCATCAACTTACAGTGAAATTTAAATTCTTCTCTAGGATGCATACCATATAGTCCGCTATAGGGGCACAACGAATGTGCTTGAATGGAACGACGTCATCTTGCCCTTTCTAAAAAGGGCAAGATTGGATTCGATTAGGCATTTCAATGGAATTAAGGTTGACCGCCAACTCATCACGGCGATGGTAGAGAGATGGCGAAAGGAGACACACTGCTTCAATTTTCGTGAAGGCGAGTGCACCATCACACTTAAGGACATCGCCATCCTTACCGATCTCCCCATTGATGGTGATGTTGTTTGTGTGGACTCTACGGCACCACCTAAAGTTGTTGCCAATATGAGTGGTTGGCAACATTTTATATGGACGGTCACTGGTAGCCTGCTTGTTGGTTGTAATCCGCCTGTTGAGCTTCTTCTTCATATGAAGGGAAGGATTGATGACTTCCTCCAGTTCCATGATGATACTCCGCCTGACTCCAACTCGAGTCTTGGAAATCCTGGTGGGGATGATCTTCGTATAATACACTCCCACCGTGGATACCAGATGTTTGGCCAGCTCCAGAATGACCTACACTGCCTTGAACGGCCTCGGTGTAAACGAACATCTCCGCTTGCTTCATTGTATTGGTGGTCAAAAATTGGACCATGGCATCAACGTCCTCCTGAGTGGTAAGGAGGAATTCCTCATACCACAGCGACCCGTCATGTCTGTTTGGATATCGATACACCATTCGATCAACTCTTCTAGTGCCATCCATGCAGGTAATCTGAGTGCACATTTGATGGAGCACTTCAAGCATCGGTCTCGTACGGACCTTCATTTTATGAAAAATGCCACCGACGTAACTTACACCCTTTTCGGTCTCTTCCGTGTAACCATTCCACCGCAACCCAAGCGTGAACCTTTGGAATGCCATCTGCAATGAAAAGTAACACAAGTTACTAACATAACAACACAAAGAAAAATGAAAAGTAATTCAAAATACTAACATAAAATCACAAATGACAATGAAAAGTAACACAAGTTACTAACATAACATCACAAAGGACAATGAAAAGTAATTCAAATTACTAACATAAAATCACAAATGACAATGAAAAGTAATTAAGTTACTAACATAACATCACAAATGACAATGAAAAGTAATTAAGTTACTAACATAACATCACAAAGGACAATCAAAAGTAATTAAGTTACTAACATAAAATCACAAAGACAATGAAAAGTAATTACGAAACAAACTTACGAATTAATGTTAATCGACAGCTGATAAATAATTTAAAGGTGCAAAGCAGAAATTTGAGGAAGGAAGTGTGAAGAATTGTGTTCTCCGAAACAGCCTTTTATAGGCAAATTTTGCATGCCGACATGTCCGACATGTCGGGTGTCGGGTGACCAGGCACAAACCGCGCCTCGGGGGAGCGGTTTGTGTCCTGACATTGTAAACCGCCCCTTCATCAGGCGGTTTGTAATGCCGACATTTAAACGCTCCCTCTCAAAGCGTTTTGTGGTAGGGTTAGCCTATAACCGCGCGTTCCAGAAGCGGTTTTCTCTGCAAAATAAAAACGCTCGTCCAAGAAGCGGTTATAAGGGAAACCGCGCCTCTAGGCTGCGGTTTCATTGAAAACCGCTCATCAGAGGCGCGGTTTTATATAAACGATGGTATTTTTGGAAATTATTTGGTGAGGGTGGTATTTTTGGATTTTTTTTTTTAAACAGTGGTACTTTTGGATTTTTTCCACAGATGAGCATATGTGTCTTCTGCTAACTATGTTTTATGGCGGAGAATGTACCAGATGCTAAATTTTGTTAAACAACTTCTTCTTTCGGATTCCAAAATTCAAACTCAGATGTCATCCAATATAACCAACTCCTCGGGTTGGGATACGGTCACATCCCCCCATAGGGGTTGTGAGATTCACAACTAACTTCCTAACCATTGGATACACTCTCTGTCCTGTCTCTCTCTTCTTTTTTTGAAATTGATGGTTAGGATTAAAATAAGGGTATTTTGGGAAGGAAAAAATATTACCACACCCAATCACTCTCCCTCCCATATAAATACATAAAACCCTAGCTCCTCCTACCCTCCCTCTCCCTCCTACTCTCTAGCAGACAGATAGAACCGCCGCCCTTCAACGTCGCCGCCCTTCACTGTCGCCGCCCTTCACTGTCGTCGCCGCCCTCCACAGCCCTCGCCGCCCGCTGCCTCCCTCCACCCCTGCGGCGCCCTCCTTCGTCGCTGTCCAGCATCCCTACGCCTCCCTTCACCCTCTGCCGAGCCCTCCACTGTCGCCGCCTCCACAATCCTCCGCCTCCCTCACTCCCTGCCGCCATTGTCATGCCTCCTCTCCTTGCCTCTTTCGGTGTGAGTCCCTCTGCCACTATACTCTTCCTCTCCTCTCCTTCGTTTTTCAGATCTGTAAGTTTTGGATTTTCAGATCTGGTTTTTTTTCCTAGTTGTTTTCTTCTGATAGTGGTACTAGATGTAGTGGTACGCTACCACTACCATTTAGTACCTGGTAGCGGTACGCTACCACTATCAAGTAATGGTACCAAATGATAGGTAATGGTATCAAATGATAGTGGTACGCTACCACTATCAGGTACCAGATGGTAGTGGTACCAAATGATAGTGGTACTCTACCACTACCAGCTACCAGATGGTATTGGTACAGCTGTACAGGTAGTGGTACCAGTGGTAGTGGTAGCGTACCACTAGCGCACTGATGGAACGGTAATTTTTTGCAGGTGGTCGGAGCGAGTATTATTCAAGGATTTCGCCGGAGAAACTTTGTCGGTCAGAAAGTCAGTCGGTCGGAGTGGTGTGTCTTCTAGGAAAGGAAGAGAGAGATAGGAAGAGAGAGTTATATTTATTGTAGGATTTAAATTTAAAAAAACATGTATTTAATATGGGTTTTTAATTCCCAATCTGTAATTAATAGGAAAATTAATTAATTAATTAATTCGTTTTTTTGTCATACCCAAAATGCCCTTGGTTGTGAATCTCACAACCCCAACTCCTCATATACTCCGATAAAAATAAATAACTAAACAAACAAACATATGTCTTAAGAAAGAATAATGCAAGCCTTTTCTTTAACTATCTCTTTTTTCTCGGATTAGATAGCGTCACAACCCCTCTAGGGGTTGTGAATTTCGCTTCCTCATTCTCAGCAGTGGATCCTCCTTCCTAATGATCGGGCGGCCTATAATCATCAAGGGCAAAAAAGAGAGGTGCAGCACTGGGTCCGCTCGTCCACTCCATGTATGGTGTCACCCGATCTGAGATTTTGAAAGAGGAAAGATTTTCGGAGGCTAATCAGCCACCTTCCCCGCAAAAAAACTGTTCGCCTGGTCAGCCTCCCTCTCTCCCTCCATATGCTCCGAAAACCCTAAAAAGAAAACATTGCAAAGTCGCCGATAAACATTGCCGCCGTTCTCCTTTCCCCTGCATCAGCTCGGTCGTTTCTCTGCTGGGTTTGAAGACTTGGTCGTTGAGAGTAGAGGTAAGTCTGTTCTATTTCGTCCACTCCTTTTTTCTTGATTCCGGTCGATTGAAGGTCCGCTCGATTGAATTTCCGTTGGCTGGGTTGGAGTGGTTGTTTCCCAGATGCCTTCCCTTCTCTTCGTTTGTCGTTTCCCAGCTGCCTTCCCTAATACTTCACTTTTCTTTTTCTTTCAGTGCATCCTTCCGCCGTCGATCATTCCTACTGCGGTTGAAAACATACAAGGTCATTTTTCTTTATCCCTGAAGTTTTTGATTTCTGATTGCAACGTAGGAACGAAACATGCAGCCCTTTCTTTCTTGTGTAGCTTGTTTGTTGTTTGCATAATCTAGTGGTACTTTGAATTGGTACCGTTGTGGTTGTGGTATTGGTACCAGTTCTAGTGGTAGTGATAGATTGTTTTGTAGTGGTATATAGACACGTACCATTAGTTGTTCGTGTACCAGTAACGCTAGTAGTACATGTACAAGTACCACTAGGGTTACTTGTACCACTAACACTATTGGTACAAGTACCACTAGTGATACATGTACCACTAACACTAGTTGTACATGTATCACAGGCATTCCCGATTCTATCTCTTTCGAATGTTTCATAGTGTTGGTATTGTAAGTTTAATTACAAATGTCTAACAATGTAGTTTTGTTATTTTGGTACCATGAATGGCGAGAACAAAGAATCCATGGTACAGGTCGACGATAGATAAACAACCGGTAGAAAAAGAAGCTGCTGGAAAACTACCTGCTACCTATGCATCTTGACAGGTTATCATTCGTGAAGGGGACTCATCCGATTATGGTTCGGCCCCTGACAAGAAACCGCAACGGGATGGGTTAATGAAGAGTCCCTCCGAGAAGAAGAAATAGAAAGTTGAAACAAGTGCAAGCCAATTCGGGAGAAGTGTAGCCCGAATTCAGTCATTGAAATGGTGGACGATAGTATTACGAAAGAAAGGAAGGCTATACATAAGAAGCTTGGTCTTGGATGTCTACTGAATTTGAAGATGAAGCGGTTTGCCATCACTTGGCTGGCTTGGATTGCTAAGTTTTTTTATGTGAATTCAATGTCCATGCTATTTGTTTATGTACGTTATGGAGTATGAACTAAGTTTGAGCAGTTTACTTGCTTTTTTAATGCAAACCATTTGTATTGGAGAAAACCCCTAATGTTAATGTAGCACTTAATATGGTTTGTATTACAGCAATAGTTCTCATGCTTTTTTCTAATTACACATGGATCAGTAGTGGTTCATGTACAAGTAGCTAATATTGGTAACTATCAGTGGTGCATGTACCAGTAACTAGTACTGGTAAGAACAAGAAACCACTAGTGGTACTACCAGTACCTGACTTAATATTTCCGTTACACGTAATTACCAGTGGTACCAGTACCAGAAACTAGTTGTACCAGTACCAACATTAATATTTATGTTACAAGCTGTAATATCCCATTCCGGCAAAACCCATATTTTCGATCGTTAGAAAGTTCACGATTTAAAATCAAGCCTTTTAACAGTATTTCGACGATATTTGGATTATCGATCGATCAGATAAATATACGTATTAATTATATATATTATATAATATTATATATATATATATATATATATATATATATAATACACTGTCCATTTAATTCCCCACGCGTCCCATTTTCTTTCCATCATCATCGTTTCATTCTTTCTTTTCTGGACCGAGAGAACTGGAGCAGAGGGCGCGCAGGGGAGGTGAGCACGGAAATTCTCAGAGCTCAAATCTTAAGTTTTAATGATTCAAAAATCCCGTAAGTAATGCCTAATTCATCTATTCATCGTGATTTATCGATTTAGAGCTTTAAAACGAGTTTTTGGTTCAGGAATTTCTTGAATTCTCGATAAGTCAAATTAGGGTTTCGGAGTATCCGGAAGCCGGATTGAGCCCAAATTTCATATACGAGCTTCCTGCAGCGAGGTAATCAATCCTCTAGTTCTAATCCCTGAATTTCGGCTATTATTTAGGTCGGGGTCCTAATCGCTGAATTTAGCTCCGGCCAGGGTTTGATGTGTTTTTATCAAGAATTTGACCCGGAGCCTAGAACTAATATTGACGGGGATACTGCAGGGGATATTAGGACGGTCTCGGATTTTAATTCGGGGTTCGTTCGCGAAATTGACGTTTTAGTACGGGAAGGTTAAACCGGTGTTTGAACGACCAGAACTGGTGAGGGATTAGCACGGCATACCGGGTTTGTCGTATCACGATAATTATATTGATGCTTAGAATTGACCTAGGTGAACTAGAATGGCATGATTAGGGGTGTATGAACTTTTGTGCTATATGTTGAACCCTGGACTGTTGTATGATATTATTGACTTGCCCTAATCGATATGGACCTTGTTTATGCTGATGATTGCATACATGTTGCCATTTGTAGCTTAACTGTTGATATGACTTCATGGTTGTTCGATCAGGTGTTTTGACATGATGTGATATTGTGGTTGTATTTGGATTCACAAGTGGGGGAAATAAACTCCCCAGGGTGATATTATGATATTTAAGGAGGATGACTTGCACGAGGGTTTATCCCGAGGAAGTGCAATTATACGACTCCTGATTTACCTATGTTGAGCCAATTGTGGCCGGGTCAAGTACATGTGTAAGTAACGAATTATGAGTAAGCAAGATGAGATATGGATCATGTATAAGGATACCAAATATGAGTGTTTTGGTCTCATGGTCAATTACGTAGTAATTAGGGCTCCCCATGCTATTACTCCGTTATGATATGTTATGTCACACCCCTGATGTGGTGTTGACCGTTGATTCATCATGAGATATGACCACACCCAGAGTGGTGTTGAGTCCGATATGACCACACCCATAGTGGTGTCAGGTCCGATATGACTACACCGGCAGTGGTGGGTCCGATATGACCACATCCACGAGATGTTTGGTCCGTATTCCCGGGAGAGTAATTAGCATGGGAGTAGCCAGGCGCCTATAAGTAAAACATGATAAGACGCATATGCATAACTCAAGGTGGTTGAGTCTTTTGCCCATTGGGACATGAGGATGGCTGAGGTCCGATCCTAGTGTTTTGGCTTGTTTGCTAGATGTATGGTAGGGGTATGCTCTGTTATGAACTCACGATGCTATGATTATCTCACTCAGCTATGAGCTGACCCTCTTTTATTCTTTTTCTCTGCTTATGCCATGTGTAAGCAGATCATCACCAGCAGCAGCAGTAGATAGGTGTATAGGTGGGAGTTGAGCAAGAGTTGAAGGCAAGATGAGGTATGGTCTTCAACTATTCTGTGCTTGGACTACTACTCGGGATTTTGGCCAGTGATCCACACCTTTTTGTAAAAATGTTTTGAGAACGTTTTTCATGTGCATACTAGCTTCTGATGTAGTGTGAGATATCCACAGGTGTGGAAAGTTGATGATATGTGTATATTTGTGTAATTCTGTAAGTTGTGACGATTATGGCATGTATCAGTATAGTATGCAGTTGTGTAACATGAAACTGTGACTATGGCGATGAAAAGCCAATGCCTATGGTTGTGAATATATATGTTTGTGATGAATTATTTTGCAGGATCAGATGGAAGAACTGTTAGCCCATTACGCGAGTAATTCATGTCGAAATTTTATTTGGGTAAATTTTGGTAATTAATGTAACACCCGAGATTATTTCCGCTGCAATTGTATGAACAATATGATTAGGTAATACGTACCGGGTAGGGTGCTACACAAGCAATAACTAGTTGTACTAGTACCAGCAACTAGTAGTTGTACACGTACCAAAAAATAGTATTGGTACCTGTACCAGTAACTAGTAGTGGTACGTACATCATTACTAGTAGTGTTAGACAACAAAAGTATACAAATAACAAAACCACATTCGTATAAAGTAATATCGTTCACAAGGGACAAGTTTAACTGTATCATGTTCCAAATATGAAATTAAACATCTAACTAGAGAAACGACCAACAATATTTAATTTTTTCTTTTTTTCTTCTTTTTATTCAGCTCTTTGTTGAGTTGTTTTCTTGCCAACTCACTTGTTATCTCCCGAGCCGGCATCGGCCTCTTCTTCTATCTTTTCTTGTCATGCCGCTGCTTAATTTTTGTACCTAAAGAAGCTTGATCGGCAATGGGTTCCTAAATTGTCAAAGGGTCTTCGTCTATGTTTTCAACCCATTTATCTATTGTAACGACAGTTGATACCGCAGCTATAATTTAAGAAAAACATCAGCGGTCACAATATAAATGTGCATGTACCAGTGGAAATATACTACCTCTAGGTTACTACCATTAGATTACTACCACTAGAAAACTGCCACTTCATAAATACCACTATTATAGTACCACTACTAACGAACTACCACTAGCTAAGTTGTGGTACCAGTACCACTACTAACGAACTATCATTAGCTAACTTGTGGTACCATTCTGTCTTTGCATTAGTTGTACAATTAAAATAAAAATACCAGTACAACAGAAGTCATAACTGCACTAGTAAACCCTACTCGTAACGTTGCCTCCAACGATATTCTTCGTGTCGTCATCATTCTCTTCAATGTGCTCGACTACCCGATGCTTGAAATTGTTGTTTTTCTCCACATTGACGTTGTCCGTCGTTTCGTAGTTCTCCTACCATTCTTCAAGAGCAGGTCCTCGACGTCCAAATCGTCGGCATCATCAAACATGAAAACATCACCACCATTCTCCGCCACTTCAACTACCGCATCGTCGTTACTTGTATGGAACGTTCGTTTCAAACCCAAAGAAACAATGTTGTTCAAGTCCCACCCCATCTATGCCATCGTCGTGGCTCATGTATTCGTCCATTGTACACCGGTGGCAGCGGCTCAATATTTTCGGCGAAGTGACGCAGACGGTTATGGAAGGGAAAGAATCCGAGAATGGAAAGGGAAGAGATGCGACAGTTATGGTTAGTGGCAATCTATCCCACAAATCACGCTGCATGATATTTTTCCCTTCCATTTTTTTTTTCAAATTCACTCCAATAACCTAATTACACCAAAGCCCTTGTTGTTTTCTGAACCATCGGATGTGGAAGGAGAATTTACGGCTTAGAAGGGGGAAGCGAAAATCACAACCCTGATAGGGGAAGTGACGCTATCCCTTCCCTTTTTTCCCCATGCTACATCTTTCAACAATTACTCATTACCCAAACATCACTCTCTATTCTAATCTGAGTCTTCAGAATTAGATAAATGAAAAAAAACATCTTTATAATATACAACTCGACTATAATGCTCCACAATCAAATGAGTCAAGGACTACTATAAGGCATCTCGCATGAGACATTCAGTTCACGAGACACCTCACCTCAGGCCTCCAACTTAGTCTAAGGTGATGTCTCGCTTGAGGCATCCAACTGATTCCAAGTGTTCAACCCGTAGGACACCTCACCAAATACGCCCAGACTTCTATAAAACGACATTCAAAATTGAAAACTCTCTTCCCTTCCCGCATTCACCACACACAATCCTCTCTAAACTCTATTCTCCCTTTTTACATACTACGTCTCATTTATCACATTAAATTGAGCATCGAGTTTATATTTCGGCGACCACCCCCTTCTCCACAGATCCATCCACTCCTAAACGAAGACATCCTAATCATAACATCTCATCATTAGCATTATCAATCGTTGTTATTCAAAACACGAACAAACACAATCAATTAACACAACACACTTATCTCATGAATCACACACTCTCACTCTCTCAAAAAGATACATAAATAAATGGCAAAATCCAAGCCACACTCGCTAAATTCAACCCTCAACTCTTTCTTATTTTCCTCCAATCCATCATTATCATACTTTTTTTTCTAAAAAAGACAAATAAATAAATTAAATTATTAACAATAAATTTTAGTGATTGAAATCGAATTGAACCAAATAGAAATCCTCCCCCAATGACTTCCTTAGTCCTTCCTGTTCCTTTCCTTCTTCTTCCCGCTGAAGCAGTAATTTCACTGCCATAAAAACCCACTCACACTCGGTTTCCCCCGCAGACCGCACACGCTCTCCCCTTCTCCGCCACTTGCTCTTTAATTAACTCGCCCTTCCGTCCTATTCCACCGGTTTCCGTCCTCTCTCCACCCCGATTCCCACATCGCTACAAATCCAGATTCTCCCTCTTCTTTCACCGAATCACGTTTCTCTGGGGACTATAAACAAGGATATAGTCTTTTTCTGTTGGGTTTTTTCCTTACCCTGCTCTGCTTCACTGTCACGATTAGCTGGAATTGCGAGGCTCTTTGTCTTTGTGGGTGGCGGCTAGATTAGTGAGAGTGTGAGAGAGAAAAGGCATCTAGCGAGTGGGGTTTGAGATTTGGAGGAGGAGGAGCTGGCTGTGGGGACGCTCGAGGGAGGGGACGACAACAACGCCCACGATCTGTTTGGTTTTATTCCTCTTAGAAGAAGACTAGGGAGGTGGTTTTTTCGATTTTTGAGTGACAATCAATCATGCCATCAGGTGCGAAGAAGAGAAAAGCTGCTAAGAAAAAGAAGGAACAGCAGGCCTACCACCACCATCCCAATGGGAACAACCCACAAGGTCAGCCCTGGTTTTACTACCCTTTCTCTCTTTTTTATTCCAGCAAAAAGATCTACTAAATTTCGATCCATGCCCTTGTGTTGGGGTTGGGAAGGAGGAACCAATCAATCACTCCCCTTTCCACGCCTTGATTATCTGTCATCCAATCATACTTTCCGTCGCTGGCCTTTATATGTCGGCCCTTCTCTCTGTTAGTTGTTCGTGGCGGTGGATGAGCGGGTTCTGGGTTCCTTAGCCGCCATTGCTCTGGGATTGTTGTGTTTTTTTTGGGCTCACCGGGTTTCTGTTCAATTCCGGGAAGATGGGTATTTGCTAGCAGCTTCCTTTGACTTGGTTTGATTGGGAGGTCTTGGGTGGTTTTGACGAGGGTTTTGACGAGGTTTTTTTATTAGGATAGGTGGGTAGTTGAAAAGTTGCTATCGTGCTAGATCTTAATACTGAATCTCTACTGGAGGGATGTGCGGAACTCTCTTGTCCTTGATTTCCGGCCATTCTTGATGTTCTCTGTTAGCGTATAGGTCAATCATCTTGATATTTATCTCCATTTTATGGGGTGCTTTATGTCTGATTTCCTTGTGTGAAGTGCACTCCGTCTGTTGCATATAACCCAATACTATTCGGACTTACTGCTGATTTTAAGTGCTTGGCTGTGATGAGTCTGTTTTAAATAACTTAGATTTGCCAATCATTGCTAGTACCAGGAAACTATGACCTAGTCTTTGGCATTGTCTTTTTATCTGTGATCTGAATAGAGGGTTCATGTTCTTGAATCCGATTCAGCGTTGCTTTCTCCCTTGCCCGTGTATCAATCATGAGTACTATTACTTCAGGATAACTATAGTTTGGAAGTCCTTTGTTGCTCCTAATTTCTTGTCTTCTCAATTCAAATGAATGCAGGAAACGGTGATCAAAAAGTTGAAGATGAGAGGGACAGTGATATCTCTGAGTTGAATTCCCCAGGATCAGAAGGGAACCCTCATCATCAGGATACATTCAGGGAGGGCAATGGATTACCCGAAAAAACTGGGATGGCTGCTGAGAACCAAATTGCAGAGAATCCAAATGGAGAAGCTGGACCAAGTGATGAAGCTGGACACCATGACGATGTAGTGATTAAGAGGGAGGGAGATGAGAAGTCTTCTGATCAGGAAGTTAAGAGCCGTGATGTTACCATTGAGCACATAGATTCTGGAAAGTCCTCTGATGGTGACAGAAGCTCAACTAGCAGCAGCAGTTCTTCTGATGATGAATCCTCAACAGTTCAGGATAAGCATAAAGAAGTGGTGATACAAGTTTCTGAAGCACAACAGCAACCACCCAACGAAGTTATCACTGAGATGGAATCTGCTGAAGTTGTGAATCCTGAGGTTATTGAGATAGTGAAAGATCATGAGGTGAAGTTGCCCACATCTTATCAGTCTAATGAAGTGCTATTGCCTTCGGATTCTGGTAAAAATCAAGAAGTTTTCCCTACATCAGATCAGAATGTTGAGGTGATTGTGACTAGTAAAACTGTGAGTGAAGATAAAACAACAACATCATTAGGTTCTGCTACTGAAACCAGTATTCATCAGGATGCTTCTACTGAAACCGGTGTTGATGCGGTCTATGCTAAAGACACCAAGATTTCTGAATCAATCGAGAAACAGGTATGCCCAGTCTTATCAAAACGTCAAGTTTGTTCCTTTTATGTGGCACGAGGGGATTGGTGATTATTAGTTTTTGCTCTGCATCTTTTTTCTTTATGCAGCCTCTTGTGACCAACAATGCTCCACGTTTAGCCCAACGAACCTCCTGGTTTAGCTGCTGTGGCTTATTGGATGCGGTTTCCAGTCCCGATCGGTGATGCCAGGTAAACTTACATCACAACACCACATTTGTTTTCCTGCGCAATGGTTGTTGTGGGTCTTATTTCCAATTTGCCTATTGTTGAATCGTTGAGCTATATCCTCTGTCTTGAAAAAAGATGTAAACTTGCCAGATGATTTATGAACTAATCCATGACCTTCCTCTCTTGTGGCCTTATGAACTAAAACAGAAAACAAGAACAGACAGTAATTTGCATGCTTAGCTAGGTTGTATCCTATGGAATCTCCTCTCTAGCCATTTGAGAGAGGAAATGAATAATTAACAATTTGGAGTCTTTGACCTCTATAAATGCGTTCCCTTGAGTGGGTGGCACCGTCTCATTGTTTCATCTGATAATTCTTATTACTATTGAAGTAGCAGATTCAAAGCTTTTAGTGTTAAAGTATGAGGATCATTCTCTAATCATTTACTTTGCTTGCAGACACAAAGCAGGATGAATCTTGGGCAGGCAATTGGGAAGATTTGTTCCAGCTAGGAGTTAAGTCTTTTTGCGAAAGGGAAAAGGAGGGTAAATGAATTTTCTGAATAAAGAACGAGGAACATATTATAGAGGGAAGCTTTTCATTTTGTTACAAGGTTTTAGAAAAATAGCTAGGTGCTGCTTAGTTTTACCATACAGACCATGTCTTCCCTCCAAGGGTGTGTGCTGATTGTTCAGTGGTGTCAATAGAACAGAGTGTTTGTTGTATCTGCTTCGTTTATATGATTGTCATTGACGCTTGTTTCATCATCGGAAATGGTACCATCTTTATCAGCTACTTGCCTCCTTCGTTAGAAGGCAGCTGCAACTAGAGTTGTGCAAAGCTTTGATTCACATTAGTCGATTTTGGCCAAATCAACTTTTGGATCGAATGGAATGGGGCCAGATTTTTGCTTTGTGGTGTTTGAAATCAGATAAACTGGAAACTGGCCGAACTAGATAAGTTGCGTGTTTGATTGTGTTCCAACTGATGCTAGCCAAGATGCCTATGGATCCTTGGCTTGCTTCGTCTTCAAGGTAGCAATAAAATTGTGCAGCAAGCAATGGTGAAAGGGTATACGGGAACACAAATTCTCATTTTTATTTGTTTGATGCAAACTCCAAACACACCAGCATTAATCACACAACCGAATGGAAACTCTCTGCGCAAAAGAATACATCATGGAGCCTTGAAATGAATCCGGAAGAAGGAAATGGAATATATACCGAAACAAATTGACAGTCACTCTGAAAAGAATTTAAAGAAAGGCACACCACCACACTCTAATTATATGCATCTCCAGATTGTCATTGGTTTTCATCTCCTGAGAGAAGCAGCACCATGAATGGCTGCTATGTACAGCAATTGCGTCGCCGACAAGATGATCATGAATGCTTCCATGGTTCTCTGCACAACAATGGAGACAAATTAAGCTCAACAGATGAACTAACTGACTACAAACAAAGGGAAGGAAGAATCTTTGATTATCCATGTCCTCACCAGACGGGCGTTCCTGACTTCGAGCTCGATTTGTTTGCAGGCGAAACTGCGAAAAACAGAGTAAAGCGTTTGCCAAGTTTAGGATAGAGATGTGATTGACTGAAAGAGAGCTCTGGGGTTTCAATCAGCTTATGAGAAATAAATATGAGTATTTACCCCATGGCGAGAAGAGTGAGAGTCCAGGCAATGGTTCCAGCAGAGGCAGCAGCAGGCAAGCTGTCAGAATTCCAGGCACGGATGTGGTTTAAACCGGAGATTACTGAAGCGGCACCCACCACGCCGGCGATCAAAGCAAACGTGACGAAGAATCCCGTCGCAGCATTCCCCATCGGGAAGTAGATCGGCGAGAAATGAGCCGGAAGTTCGAACCCAGGTCCTGCAATAGTTCGCCAGTCAAGCTTTTGCTTAGCAGAAAAAGTAAAAAAAAAAAAAAAAAAAAAGACATCTCAATCGAAAATTGACTTACCAATGAGGAAGCCATGATCAATGGCTCTGTTCATGGCCCATCCGCCGATGCCCAAAACGACGGCATACATGCAGAAATTGAGGACCAAAAGCAAGGATGCCACGGATTTCATTTGATCGTTCGCCATTGCTTAACTGCTCTGTAATTGGGTTGGAGAAGCAAAAAGGCTGGAGGAGGAGAGCAGCCAAGAATAGATCGAAGCACTCTGTTTTTCTCTCTGTCCTTCCATGGCGGCAAATGACCAATGATTTATAAATCGAGGGGTTCTGATTCTTTGCTTGTCAGAGACTGTTTGAAACCCACAACCTTTTTTGCTACTTGGGTTTTGTAATTCGTTCTAAAATCGTTGTAAAGCTCTTTGCTTTATTGCTTGAACTTCAAGGCAATTCCGTCGCCTGAAGGCTGGAGATTCTTTCTTCAGCGATTACATCTTTCTCAGAGCAAAAACCACAAGATTCCACAGGCTTTTCTTCGAGCTCTTGTTTTCCGATGGAAAAAAAGCGAGATATTCTTTGCCAGATGGAAAAGGATCGCTTGCTTATTGGGGAGGCCGTTCCGTCGCCGGTGGTCGCCGGACCTACCCTGCCATCCCCGCCGGCCGAACTGTTCGAGCAAAACGCTGCGTTTTACGGGGAATCGACAATGCGTTCGATTGGCGTCCTTTGGAGCTGTTTAAATGGTTCCGCTTCTATCTCTTCTTCCGGAAGGGCCAGGAAGGATGACTAATTTCGCGCCAGATTTCGAAATCTCAACTCATTCGACGCCGAAAGATTGTGCCGTTGTGCAATTGCTACAGATTATAAGCTTGGCATTCAAGTCCAAAGTCATCTCTTTACTAGTGTAGTATGTTTTTTTTAAAGTGTTTCTGTTTTTTTGGTTTGGTTGGTCAATGTTGTTGATATTTATACTTTGTGGCGGATCCCGGATTCTTGAATAGGTGTGTCGGCTTATAAAATAATATATTAAATACAAATAACTAGTAAAATTTATCATATCATTTACAACAAACCACGACGACTTTCATATCTTGAAAAGTTTGTAAAATATATTCATCGTCCGTATTGCAAATCAAAGATTTTTTTGGTATACACAACTAAACAATCATTCATAAATTGGTAATTCAATCAATTCCGAAGATTGTTCTTGATTACCTTCATAGCTAAAAAGGTCTTTGAAAACTTGTAGTTGCAATAGATAAAGTCATCACTAACTTCAGAACCAAATAAACTAAAGACAATATATATTTATATATTTTATTAACTATATAACAACAAATTTCTTGTAGAATAATAAAGGTGTGTCGCTTACAATTATTGAGGCGTGTCGAAAATCTCGAGTTTCAATTTTTTTGTACCATCGAAAGCATGGTCTCTCACAAAATTTTCGAGTTAAGGTGTGTCAGGTGACACACCTTGCTCTAACTTGGGTCCGCCCCTGTTTATACTTGTAGTATTTCTTGTGTAGTCTGATTTGTGAAATTTGTGGTGTGTTTTGTCGTGTTTCTAGTATGTTTTTGTAGTACTTTTGGTGTGATTTGTTTTGTCTTCTCCCTACTGTCGAACATATTCTAATGATTTGTGATTTTGCTTCATGAGATTTCTTGTATGCTCTAAGAGATTTGTGGTTTGTTTTCTTGTATTCTTTTTGTATGGTATGTTTCAAGCCTATATGGTTTGCTTCTAAGATTTGTGGCATGATTTCTCAAATTTTTTTCTTTGCTTTCACGTATTTCCCGTATGCTTGTAAGGTTTGTGGCATGTGTTTCTCATGTTTGTGGTATTCTTTTTAGTATTTTTAGTTTGCTTTCTAGTATTACTAATTTATTTTATTATATTTGTGTTGTGAATGTGTGACTCATCGGTTTATTTTATGATATTTGTGGTGTGAATAAGAAGATTTATGGTTCGTTTATATGATGTCTGGTACACTAAAACATACTATAAATATGAGAATGCATACCATAAATTGAATAATGCAAAAATTATATTGAGCTCTGTAATCAAGTACGTGGCAACATCTCATTGAGAATAACAACCTCAGCTTGCATAAAAATTGTCTATTTTGAGTCACAATTTATTTTTCCGTTAAAAAATTTATATTCAATATTGGGTTTTGCTTTGGGTGCATAGGATGTGGAATCTTTTTCACATTTACAGCTTAGGAGTCTGTTTGTTGATTTTTGTACCCATACGGATATGTATTCTTTATTTTTGCGTTCCACGTTCAGTAGAGTAAGCTTTGCAATAAAATCAAAATCATTTATAATAAAAGCAATTTTTAAACTTCTAAGCACTAGCTAAAAGTGGTGGAGTCCCAACCAAGTAGGTGTTAGAGGCAAGATAAGTGTTCAGTGCTACTAAACCTGTCTTCAATGCAACAATGGTAGCTTCCTCAAACCTTCATTAAGAGATTTGATAAGATGTTGTTTAGGAATAGTTGGGGAAAACATTAGCATTAAAAAAATTATTCGTCAAATAACAACCATATTAAAGCGAACAATACTTGACTTATTGATAATACCACTAATTTTGAACGTGAAAATTCCATAGAAACAGGTGCTTGCATCATAATCAAATAAATGAGGCTATGATTCTAATAAGCTGAAAAATCAAAAAAATTATCACTTTCACTAGTTAAAAGCAGTAGTGCAATGAACTTATAGTAGGGAAATAAGGAGTCCGTCCCATTCTATCTTTCAAGTAGTCATCAACCTCAAAGATTAGTCAAACCATTGCTCAATTTGACCATGTAAATTTGAAACATTTGAATTAAGATACTCCATTTTTTACCCCTTCCACAAGCTACACTCAAAATAATTTTTACAGGAAAGAATTGATGTAAAAGAAATGAGCAAAACAAAGACAAGGCTCCCATATTTTTTAGTAGAAGAACCAAGGAAAGGGTTGTCAGCCTGTCAACTACGTCAACAAATTAACTATTAAAGTATGCCCAAAAGACAATAAATAAATAAATAATATAGAGTCAGGCGATTAGTCTCTCACCATATCGAGCAATGGCATTGCTCCCAAGAATAGCATGTTTATGTGTTTGAAGGGTTGATTCTGAACCCTATACACCAATTGGAATTGAGGCATAAATTTGATTACTCGTTGAGCCTACGGTATCACACACGTAATTCGTCGATGGTGTATCAGCACAACCACTGGTTAGAAATACAAGCAACCCGATGACCCATCCAAAGACGAAGCGGCATTAAACAGATGATCCTTGAGCGACGATCGTTTATAATTGTCGACTATATCAAAATCTTCGTCTTCGATGGACCCGAATTCGGAATAAGGATAGCGGGATCTAGATTTGGAGTAGTTGAGATGGTTGAGGGATCTAGGTTTGGAGAAGTTTGTTATAGTATGCAGTCACCACCTTCACCTTCTATCAACCTTGAGCTTCTTGTTTTTTCAAAATAAATGGTGATCCTCAAAACTCGCACTAATGAATACATGCCGATTGAAACTCTCCCACAACCCTCGAGCCTGGTTGTCTAAGGAAGAAGTTGTTCAAAGAAGAGAAGGGAAGAGGAGGAACCATAAATTGGATTTCAAAGCAGACTATGAAAGTCATAATCCCGTATTGTCAAGATTAAAAACGAGCAAGTGAATTACAAATAAAATATTTCACTCTACAAGTTCAAAATTTTCAAAAGGTTGTTTGCAGAGTTTTCACTTGCTCTATGAGCGAATGGGATATATTACATATATTTCCCTCTAGCTTTCCCTTTCTCATCTACTCTCTTTCGTATATTCACTATCGTTTGTGGTAGCAAAGTCAAATCTTCATTGTAAAAAGGTACAAATTAATTTCTTCCAATATCTCAATTATAATATAAAAAAACAAGAAAATCAACATTCAATGATCAGTCTGATGAAATAAGAAAATTTCATGAAAGCCTAGCTTCTTTATTCATGTAGTATGCATGTCTTGTATTACGTATATATTAACCATTTAGTTCAACCAACGCATATTTTTCACACGAATTTTATTTTAAGAAACATGTTTATCAAAATGTTACTTCAGATGCATTTCAAAAGACTACTTAACAAGAAAACATGTTTTTTACCCGATATGATACAACACTTTTTCATGTCTAAATGTGACAAATGAATTGAATTTAAGAATTAGTAAATTTGATTGACGAATTTATGAATTAAATGAATTGATCAATTGAATTATAGATCTGAATAACATATAAACAATTAGATGATCATCTAAACATTTGACTAATACAAAAACGTTTGAGTATGATCTAGTACCAAAATATAATTCACAATTTATTGAATTTGGAATAACTAGATTGAAATTAATGAATTTGATGAAGTTAATTGAATTAGCTTAATTGAACATTATAGTGAAGGATTTATAGATTATATACAAATTGGCCACAATTACCTATTTTACCTCTAGCCACTCAAATATGTGATAGTCTTACCTGAATCTTCATATATTAACATATGACATGCATTTACCTGACCAGAAAATAGAAAAGCACGATTTGCAAAACTTCATACAACTTTCCAAAAGTGTACCTCTTTGATATCCAAGAGTAACGGATTAAAACCATCCCATACAGAGAAACTAGCAATAGAGTCGGTAGCAAATCTCCTCAAGTACAAACTCAACAAACTCAGATTCCACTAATTATAACCCAGTTCACTCATCCTCCTGGCTGCGCAGCCTGGCCAACTTGTTGGTAACAACAACATCGAGCTGAGCAGCTCGCTCCACAATCTCTTTCCTCTTCTTGGTTGACACATCATGTGCAATCTCAGCACAGTAAGTCCTGTTGTGCATCATCAACACTTCGAGCTCTTTCACGTTGTGGACAACGAACTTCTTGAAGCCATTGGGAAGGTAGTGCCTAGTCTTCTTGTCTGAACCGTAACCAATGTTGGGCATCAAGGTAACTCCCTTGAACTTTCTGCGAACCCTGGAATCGATACCCTTTGGCCTACGCCAGTTCTCCTACAAGAATAAAGAGCAGAAAAGATTAACACTGTATCATGATACAAGAATGGAAGGTAAACTTCCTAACAATAAACAAACCAAGAGTAAATGACAGGAAAACTCAGTAAAACGAGTTAAATAGCATAAAGCCAGCATGTGAGCAGAAAATAAGTAACAGAAAGCCTGTGAAGAAACCAGCTAACCGTGTCGCAACTGCCCACTAATTTCTTTATGCCCGGAAAAAACGAAATGACCAGATACGCAAAAAAAACTCTGGACATCAGATACCATGGGCAAAAGTAAAATGGACCAAGACTTCCACAGTTCCAAAGCCAATATCTATTGTATTTACTAAGAGAAAATCGAATTCAAGAAATGCATTTAGTTGAACTGCAACCTCAGCCGAAAGATGGTGAATATTTAAATGAATCATCACATATAAATCAGTGATTGATGGAAAATTTGCATCACGGATTGCAAGGACTCAACAAACAATATCAAAAGTGAAACTTAGTTGAAAAGCTGGGAGAAAACAGAAACATATGCAACAGAGATCAGATGGTAGTGCATGTTTTGTTCATCATCCAATAACAGAAAAGGAGGATAGGTATCCTCACATCTCCTTGCATACACTTCACAAAATTAAAACCAAAAATGAAACTTTTCAAAACCAGCTGAATCAAAACGTAAAGAAAGAGCTAATCTGTAATAAGGGATCAGTTAACAGTTGTGTTTCTCTCCAGTTTCCATAAGGAAGTAAGACTGGGTGTCAAACAATATTCATCACATCCCATACTATAATCATACCCTCCAAACTCAAGGAACCCCCAACCAAAAACATAAAAGGAGTTCTTAAAAATTCATCTAGACATGAAATCTAGAAACTAAGTCACTGCAATGAACTAAGATGGTCAATCTCTAGCTCAACATATTGCATCCAAGAAGAAGCAAAAAAGACTGGGTGTCAAGATGCTACCATCATATTCAATTATAAACACCACAGGCCCAATTACATACACAACAATGAAGATTCAAACACCAGACGAATGTACAAAGACGCAGAGAACCTAGAAAGAAAACATCGATTCAACTAAGCTCTTGAGAATCAGATAGATATGTCAATCACCACCTCGCATATCAAGACGCGAGTAAGACTGGGGCGACAATAGTTCAATCATCATTTTCCACACCGAGGATCTCTACAGAACCTCCGAGCGTAACTAGATCTCAGCCATTAAAAACCCTAGGCCTTAAACAAGAACTGAAACAGTATATATACCTTCACGGTGATTCTCCTGTCACACTGGGGCCTCTTGAACTTCTTGACCCTCTTCTTGATGATCTTCTTCGTCAGCAATGGAACCGCCATTTTCGCTCACCTCTTTTTGACCTTCTGCAGCCAGAAACGGAATTACACAAATGAATCAGCATACATAGATACTGGAAAACAACATCAAGATGGCGATACTGAACCAGGGGAAATCAGATCGAAGAAGATGAAGGATGAAGCTCACCGTGGAGGATTCCCTTAGCCGCCGAGGGTTCGGAGTGTTAGAAATTGAGGGATGTAGTTCTATCGATATTTATAAGCTGGAGGTTCTCGGTAGCATTAGGGTTTTTGGCCGGTGGAGGGTCCAACTTAGGTTAACAAGATCATATGGCCGGATCAACGGCCGAGAATACCGGAGGAAGTTTAAGCTCTGAGATCTGCCGCCCGTTATGAGCTGGGCCTTAACAGTCTTAAAGCTAATTGGGCTATTCTGAAATATAAGCAACGGTGGACCTAGCATGCCAACTGGCCCATTATGTGATGCATGCTCAATATTTATCACTTGATTCACTTCATTTCATTGAGTTTTATTTATTATTTATGCCTTAGTTATTGTGTTAATCAATTCATCCATTGCTTCAATTGTTTATTTTTTTTTATTCTTTTATAGTATTTTAATTCACTTTTGGAAATTCACAAATGCAATGTATACTTTATGAGAAGTTGGCTCGTTATTGCATATTTTTCAACTAAACACGACACATTAACTCTTTAAGTCGATTATATTGTATTCGTCATATGTCATACATTACCTGGGTTTGTTAGTTTTTGCGGGCTCGCTTCACCGATATCGTCTATCCACAAGTAGAAGGGGAAAAAAACTATGTCTCATTACTTTTGTCGAACAACGAGTAGAAGTTAGGAATTCCGATCAAGTCATTTAGAAAGTGCTCCCTATACAATCATGCTTGTTAGGATTCTTTCAACAAGATCCTATGATATTATATCATTCAAATTTCAAAAAAGGTTGCCCAAAAGGTTGCACAAAAAAACACCCTCTCAACTTGATATGATCCCAAATGGTCCATTATACACGTTTAATTTACTTGACGAAGAAGCTATTAAAGTTGGGAAGAAGAAGGGCAGAATTTGGCTAAGTCAAAATCCGTGTTCAGGGTACATACTTTGGAGGCATGGTTCTCTCAATTGGCTTGGTGGAAATTCCAGTTCAAGGGCTTGTTTTACAGAAAAAGTTTCCATGTTTCCAATGGTATGCTTTGTGGATCCAGAAGATGTGATAAAGGTTGTTTTCCAAGGCCTCAAAGTTGCTACCTCAAAACTGGAAAACTGCCAGAAAATGACCAAGGCAGAAAACTGTTTTGTGAAGCCTACTTTGAAGCTTAATTCGAGGAGTATGGATCTAATTCAAGTCCAAAGGCTTCCACAACATGAAACTAGGTATGTTTATATACCAAGGGAAGGAATCGGATGAAGAATTGGAGTTCGGGAAGGCCTCGAACAAAAGGCGCGAAGTTAGTACGAAAGCTGCCTTTTGACTGTTTTGCGGGCAGACTACTTGTGCGCCAAGAAAGGAAGTTTATGGCCGAATTTTGAGTCCTTTTTAGAGTTTGTTTTTACCTTAATTGTTTCCTTGTTCATCTAGATTTGTATTAGGTTTTATTGGCTATAAATAGCCCTCCATTTACGTTGTAAAAACAGAAGACTTTGATTAATCGAAAAACAAACCTTTTGGTTTTGTGCAAGTTGCGACTTGTTTGAGTTTGGTGGATTCCAAGCTTGTGAGTTTTGTATCGATTGAATATCCTCTTCAATCGTGGTCGAGCAGCTACCCTTTTATACCATACGAGCTTTCCCCAGGTGTGGAATTGTCCGTTGGTTCCGTTTTATCCTAAGTTCGTATTAAGAACGCTTCGTTCTTGATTCGAGCTCAATCGATTTTTCGATTGAGTCGTTGCTGCGTTACTTTGATAACGTACACCCCAGGGGCATATTACAACTATAGTTCGAGATCTGATTAACTATTAGTGAAGACCAGCTTTAACTTACAACATAAATTTATGGGCAATGTCTATTTTTTACCCAAACCTTTTTCAGATTCTTTTATTTTAACCAAACCTATTGAATTCCTAAAAATTATCCAAACGTTAACTCTCCGTCAACTTTTCTGTTAGTAATGTTGACTAAGTATGACCATAATGAGTTGACTTCCTACGTGACGGTCATAATACCATCACTTACTATTTTTAATAAAAAGATTATCAAAAAACAAAACAAAATCCCACCCCTCACGTGGACGAAATAAGTAACGGTAACAAAATGAATGCCCAGACTTTGATAAATTATAATACGTTTGGATAATAAATAGAATTTCTATAGGTTTGGTTAAAATAAAAAAATCTGAAAAAGGTTTGGGTAAAAAATAGACATTACCCTAAATTTATTTTCGTATACTCTGTTGTACAGATGCCTTCATAAGACCACTTCTGAAATGCTCACCGAGTAAAACCCATAGGAACTAGAGGTGGCTGTTCTATGTATTTCAAATTTCCTTTGACCCCAAACAGGATTCTTTATGAACAAACTATTCTACTGTTTCCATGATCAGACTTTGTCCAGGGAGCAGGCATTTATGCAACGGTAAATTGAACATCGAAGTTCGTACGAGTTCGGAGACGAGGGCACAATATCAATTATCAACCCACTCTTTCTCAACCAGCTGTACGTGCAGATTTGCCTTCAGGATCGCCTCGAAATGGAGTTTGTCCATCTGCTTCGCCAATGACTTGACGAAGTCCACCGAAAATATCAAGTCGAAACTCTCTTCCATATGGCTCAAATCCTGAGAGATCTGGAAACCAACATCTGCTCCCTGTAAATCAACCAGTCCTGCCAACAGAGGATTCCAGCCGCTGAGCATTTTGGTAGTGCTGCAAACCTGAGTAAAGGGTAAGAGAAATGGAGTCACTGCTTCATAACTGCAAATGCTGCTATGCCAACACGGGCGAGAATCTTTCATGCATTGCTGATAGACAAGAAGTGGAATTTCGAGCCAGATAGTCAATAAGAGAAAACAATGGGTGAAGTTGGCAAGAAAATGTCTAACCTCGATATATTTTACACCCATTTCACTGAGGGTGTTGGGAATGTTTTGCGATGAAAGCAAATGAATAGCACCTCCAGATCCAACAGGTGACTTTAGCATTTCCCATGGGGACTTCATCAAGATTTTATTACTGCTGTTTTCGTCTGCAGAACTGGTAACAAGAGGAAGCTTCTCTTCCTCCAGAAACCAAACCTGGAAAGGGAACTCATGTTAGAAACCTGAAAGTAGGCAGATGGAGACAAATCAAATACACAGAAAATGAGTGCAGTATTCTTCTTCTCAGCTGCAACTCAAGGTTTAACAATTTTCATTGGTACAACTCCCCACACTTGACAGTAATACCATTATACAAGCCTTATTGCAGTCGAATCCAAAGAAGTCGTTGCTTGAAAATAGTACTTCCAGAGGCTGGATCTCCTGCTCAGGACAAACCAGAACCAAAGGGACAGATCCATGATCTTCCAGGAATTGTTACAACTTGTGAAATCTCTTAATCAGGGTCATGAACAAGCGGAAGGAAGTGATATTACCTTTAAAAACATCTGGCTGTCGGAAAGTGTTTTGGTAAGTAATGTACAAGGTGAATTTTCTGTATTACTGCCTTTCATGTCAACAAGTTGATGGTTCACAACCAAGACGATTCCGATTTTTCCTTCAGATAAGAGATGGCATCCACTTTCATGAAAACGCAAATTGGCTCCCAAATCATTTACACTGAAGATGGTACTAAGCCCATCCTTGGAAATCTTAAGAAAACCATTCTTTAGCTTGGATCTTGTTGCACCAACCAATTCAGTTGTACTCAGGAATAGTAAAACTGCTGGACAAAGTTAAGAGAAATAGCCTGCCAGCTTTAAGTAAACTGAATATTCTAAATAAGACCATCCTGCCACATAAATTACCAACTAAAACACCTGAACTTGCATGGGTCATAATAAACTACAAGGACCGAACATAGAAAGCAAGAGCACAGACTTAACACTTCATGAAAATAGATTACTTCACTAAAGATTGATTCAGTTCAGTTGGGTTACAGCCCAGCCACTTTTCCCAAACTCCTCTGCATATTCATAAAACATTTAGTAACAACAACTCATAATGTAGTTCATCTGAAAATCACCTGTTAGATGACATCCCAATATTTGTTAGTGCATGCTGAAGGAGATTGGAATTTACTGCAACAATTTCATCTGCCAACAAGCTCCTTTGAGACTTTTCTCCATATCTGAGTCTATCAAATACATGTTTTTGCTCTATGTCAACTAACTTATTTTTGGCAGCTATAAGCTGTCGATTGAGCCTTTTTTCTTTCTTTCCATTCCTGAAATGCATCAAATCACAGACTCGAGTCAGTGGTGGTTTCACCCGGTAAGGAAAAAAGCTTTAAGCAGAGAAAATAACATGATAAGGTTTCAACAGTAAAATTGCAGAAGCAAAAAAGAACCACAGAGTTTACAAAATCTATCACCTAGAGAATTATATTATTTGTTTGCTTAATGAAAATAGGTTTCAATAGCCTACTAATTACATTACATGCTTACCTCGCCTTGGTGATCATGAAGAAACCAAAGTTAAAGTGAAAATGCCACTTTAGGAATTGCAAGTCTTAACTAGAACAACGAATATAAGAGCGTAACATAAATAAATTTGGGGGGGGGGGGGGGGGGGGGGGGTGATACTATAATCAAGTGATGTTATCATAGATCATTACTCTCCCTCCAAATTTTCTGAATAAGTTCTCATCTAACAGCCAAACCAATGACAAATAAACAGAGTACAAAGAAGTATGCCTCACAAGCTGGCGCCTTTCCTTCTTGGACCTCTCATCTGGGCGTACATTCAGCTCAAGGAGTCCTTTTGGGGGTGTGATCCACATTCCTCGTTTATTCGTATCGACATCTGGAACAATTGCTTAAACAAATGGCAACCACAGAAGAGGGCCAGAGGCACCAGCTTCTTCAACCACCGGCATTTCAGTTACACCAATTGCATCTGTTGACGAGTAAGCATGACTCTTAAAAGGTCACATGCCCCACTGTTGAAAACGTCAACAACAGTTCCCACACATTTATAAGTATCCTATGAACAGAAGTGTCATTTAGTACTTGTAAGTTAAAAGCCATACAATCAGTAACAAATATGAAAAGAAGAAAAACTTAAAACAACTTGTAAAGTTCGCTCTGGAACCAATAAGAACGGAAGGTAATAAATAGAAAAATGTAGGTGCTATGTAACAATGATATCTATGTCAACTGATTAAGCTAGGCATAGCTCAGAAAGAAAGTGAACACAGAAGTGGGGAAACCGGGAAAGAACAAGGGAAACAGGATGTGCCCTGAATTCTCCAGGTTAAATAGCTTGACTATATAGCTTGATCACAAAGAAAGAGAGAAAACAAGGGATTCACAGGCAAGGACGCAAGGTTACTAAACTAACATTCTTCAAGAACATATATGCTGGGGTGTGTCAAATCATTTAAACAACAAACCTTGAGAATCACTCTCATGCCAACCAGGTCACGAGTATAGAATTCCCCTTCCTCGAGCTCAGGTCTATCATCTTCTCTGACTAGCAAAGCTGATCCAATAAGTTGCTTCGCCTGTAAAACCAACAGACATATTCAGCCAACAACGGAGTCAACTAATGCAGTAGGCATAACAGTTCCCACATGTTCTTATCATTAGCACCAATTACCCAAAATCTCTAGTTGAGGGGAATTAACACATCAGAACACATACAAATTGCTAACTTCAGCAATCGACAATGGATTACCATTCCTCATTCATATCACCTAAATCCGAACCACTGATTCCCATCATCACACGGTGACTCACCTCATTAACTGTCTCAAATCCTCCAAGTAAGCACCCAACTCCTCTTCCCAGGGTTTTCCCTCCCTTCAAGCAACTCAACTTCTTGAATCACTTCTTTACCGTTAACAGATTGCTTCAACCATCTTCTCCCGGGCTGAAAAAACCACCCATCAATCCAAAACTATAAAACCATACAAATACATACTAAAACGTCCCGAAATCCTCTCAATTATACGAATTAGCTGCTGCCATTACCTTGGAAAATCGTAGTTCAGGGAAATCCGTAGTGGGATCAACACAAATCTCTCCGTGAAGTCCGTGGACACTGGATAGATACCCTACTTCCACGAAGTTCGAAACGCTCTCCGCAGTTTCAACAGCCTCCAGAGTCCAGAGTAGCTGAAACAAATTGCGCGACGCGAGAACAACTTATTATGCCAGTTCTCGTCGAATCGAATTAGAGAGAGCGGGAAATGAGAAGAAGCAAGCTCCAGGACGTACGTACCAGTTCGGTGGAGATGAACCGGGGCGCGGAAGTTTGGACCGGGAGGCTGGGAGCGAAATTGCCTGGAAAGAGAGGTAGAAGGCGGCGGCGGCGGAAAGCCGTCAGGGAATGCTGCAGCGAGTGGCAGATAACGATGGTGGAGTGACGGGAGCAGGGAAGGGCGGAGTAGCGAGACGGTGGAATGCATGTTTTCTTGGCCGTCGAGCGACGGGGAGCAGCTCAGGCGAAACAATCTACTATTTATAATACGCCGAAGGGAAAAACGGGAGCCCCATTTCAAATTTACTGCAACGAGAGTGAATCTATTATTTATAATAAACCGAAGGAAAAAACGGGAGGATACGCAAGGATCATAACCAATCACACTAAGTACATTTATTATATCCTTTTAAATTAAAAACATATAATAGCAGGGTGGAAAAAAACTCTCCCCTCATTTCAAATTCCCTGCTCCATGAGCGTTTGTAGGAAGGGTATAATAGGAAGTGTCAATTTTTTTCTCTTTCCTCTGTGGAACGGGCCAACTTACCGTACACATGCGGATTTAAACGGGTCTATAAGTGTCAATTTTTTTTATTTATACCCTTTTTTTCTCCGTGTTGATAAAATATATATGAAAAGGCAAAAATAATACTCCTTTTATTGTTAAAAATAAAAAATTTAACAATAAACTAATACATGGTATCTAATGGGCTAACCGCTAACCATAAAATAAAAGAGTTGAATGTGCTTGACCTACATGGGATTTGGCCATCAAGTAAACAAATGAACATCATTGGTTTGTCTTTCTAAAACAAGCTATTTTCTCTGGCTTATAATATATTATGCTATTATTTTATATCTTAGTGGCTAAAATATAATGTATTTTAAAGTTATTCAATGGTTCAACATCGACCAACCCAATTAGTCCAATTTTTATCATTTCAAATATATATTTTATAATTATTTGACATCATAATGATCAAATTATAGGGGGAGTTCTACGGTACCCAGGGTGAAATCAAGGGTACCATATACCCTGAGTATGAAAACGCTATTCAGACCATGAATTGACTGATCTTTCAGACATAATACTATACTCTAACCCTTAAAGATCAAAATCTAGGTCTTAGTTCTCTAAATCTAATACTCCAAGATCAATTTAATTAGAATAATAATTTACGGTTATGATTCGTCCAAATAAAGGCCAAAAATGAATGCACCATCTTAGAGTTTATAGTTTATAATTTAGATATTTAGGAACTAGGGTTCACTCATAAAGGGTTAGGATATAGTATCAGGTCCAAAAATCCTGCTAATTCGATGTCTAGATAGTATTTTCATACTCAAGGTATGCGGTACCCTAGATTTCACCCGGGGTACCGTAGAAGGCACCCAAATTATAGTGTATTTTATAGGGAATCGTTTGGTATTTGTTAGTAAAAAACTAAACATAAAGATCTATTTGGTTATTTTAAACATTAAAACGATCCAAAACATTTTCAGTTCCTTTTAAATTTCTATGGTTTTATTCCCGAATAAGTGATGTGCAAATGGGGAATTGTAGTCGTCTCTTTTCTTTCACTATTTTTTATTTTCAAATAGAAAGTTTAAAAGTAAAGAATAATTAGAATTTGGCATGGGTCGGCCAAACAGGCTTAATTTCAAGTTTTGGCCCGTTTGTTTTATGCATTGCAAATTTATTAGCATGTTGATGGAAATGGCTTGGAAAAAAGACATATAAGTTGTACTTTTGCAGAAATGTCCTCAAATGTTTGAATGCTTTGTGAATCAGGTTCCGTGACTTTTGTGATGGTGTATGTGTTTGACGATTGCTCGATGTTGTAACTACTTAATTTGAGAGTAAATCTTTTGATTTTCCCTATGAGTTGTGATACCAGTTCTCGTGGTTGCAGCATGTTGTCGTTGTTGGCCTGTAAAAGTTGTCCCGCCGTGATGCTAAATACCTTTCTTTCTTTTTTAACAAATTGTGTAATAGTGCTATGAAACAGACCACCCATGAACGCTACGCTTATTATGGTATGTTCTTACTTCCGGTGGTGAGAAATTGTGAATTGAGAATCATATTCGCCTACCGCACTATGTCTGGCTGGTGGCTGCTTAATGTGCTCTCTAGAGTTATGAAACAGACTACCCATGAACGTTACCCTTAAGAGTTCATAACTTTGCGAAAAACCAAATATAGGCAATCAAAGGTGGTGGATGTGTGATGATTTTTTTATGGCTTAATTGTTTGTGAATTGGATATCTGATCTTTGTATGATTAGAGGGGATGTTTGCTTAATAGAATAATCCATTTTAATTCATGTTTATTTTTAGCATGAACTTTAGTAACTCAAAACCTTCGAGACACATATCACCTACTGCATTGTATCATTTTGCCTGGGTGCTTGCTGTGTTGTCAAACTTCTTTGCTGCTGCTGCTGCATTTACACTAACAGGGGAGTTAAGAACCCATGAATGTTTCCGTTTGACACAAACAAGAGGACTTACTTCTAAATCGTGCACTAAAGATTATTGGAGGAAACATCTCTGTTGCAGTTGATATACTGGAGACCATAACAAAAGCAACGTATAACATCAAAACCAACCATCTGAACTATTAGCATTGTTGCTTTACTCTTTTTTCGTGGTTGAGTCTCCTTCAAAAAATTTAGTTTGATTTTAGAAAATTTTGCTTCTGCAGTCCTGTCTTGCCACCAACGCGTTCAGTAGATGGAGATGGCAGAGGCGAAGGCTATTTTTGTGTTGTTGTTGCTGGTTTAGGGATCGGTTTGTGAAGAAGAGGGAGAAGAGAGGGGGGAAGGGAAATGCAGGAGAGGGGGATAACTCTTTTCTCCGACAAAAATGGAGTGAAGAAAGGAATTATGATCAGTGAGGATATGGTTATCTTACATAACGGTCTCTATTCTGTTTGAATTGAGCTTGGAGGCAGTGATAAGGACGAGCTGCAACCAATTCATAGTGATAAGAGTGCTACGAACTGTGATCATGTCTTATTTCAAGTTAGAAGGTAGTTTCAGTATAATGATTATTTAATTTGACAAGTTGTTTCGTCCATGATTCTTGGTAGTTTCAGTGCCATTCTAGCCATTGTTTAGTCTGTAATTTTTGAGAATTGATGTGCGAGTAATGACTTTCACTTAGCTTCAACTATAATGTGTGTATTTATTGGCATGTGATAGAATTCTCTTTTCCTTTTCTTTGAATTCAGTTTCATACTCTAATTGTATCATTTGTACATAGACAAATCATGCTCGAGATGACAACTCGCTGATATGGCTGGTGCAAGGAATGAAGCCATCATTAGAATTCAGACCGACAACGGGGAGGGATGCCCAGGACTAATTCAATGATGATTGATGATGGTATAATAAAAACTGCAGTCTGCATCAGCACCAATTTCTAGGCCTAAGTAAAGTTATTCAACCCAGAACTCTGCTTAGCGCTAAAAATTGCCCTCACCCAACCTTGATCCTATTTGACCCACTTCTGAAGAGTCAAGATATATGACTAATCCTCTCCATTCGTATTTTCTTATTGACTCTTTTTGACCCTTTAGGTTGGGGCGGGTCGGGAAGAATCGGATTAGTGGGTCGGTCCTAATCAAGTGGAATCCCAATCCCTTCACTCTCACTTGCTTTCTCTCCCATTCCACAAGTGGGTAACATACAGTAATCCGGCGAACGAGCCGGGTAATAAGCTAGTTTTGTTTATGAGCGCCCAATTTTTCTCTCATAGTGGGCTGGGACTGGGACTGTGGGACTTAGAGTTTGCGGTTCGGTTAACCAAAATTCGAATCAGTCCATTGTTAAAATCAAACCCAAATTGATAAAAAAAAATTAACATTTCTGTTAGAATAAATTGAAATTTGAAGACTTATCAATTATTTTTGTTCGTTTATTAACGGTTAGATTATAATCAAAACCGTAAAAACTTGTCGGTTTTATCTACTAGCTTATAACCCGACACGTTAGTCGGAATACTTATATTTGATTATTTTATATTTTTATGTTACGTTTAAATCTATCAATCTGTTTAATTTTATTGATAAATTTTCAGTTGAGATGATATATAAAAAATGAATATATAGGTCGAACATTAGGAGAAATATCATCATCATTTAAGAATATAAAATATAAAAATGTATCATTGATCCCATTTTGATAATGATAATTAAGTCTCCTGTAAAATACTATCGGTTAGTTGATTATCAAGAAAGATATAAGTATAAAAGCTCACTGGAATTTTCACACGAACCATAGATAGTTTGAAACTTAATCTTAAACCTCGCAATCCTACATAAAGGTTCAATGCTCTCTTTAATAAAAAATAAATGGAGAGTTGTTGATTCAAGTCAACTAAATACTAACAACTCAGCTAAGAGAGGACCATCAAAACTTGAGAGCAAATGCCAAAATAAGGGTTACCTCGAATAACTAATAGACTCGATCTAAGTAATAAGGAACAAAATTATACACTTTCTCAATCAGTTCCAGTAGGTTGAATAAAGAATCAAACGATCTACTTCAGTAATCAATCAATGATTTCTCGTTTTAAGATATAAATAGGTTGCGATAGCTGCAAAAACCATAAACTTAAAGATCCAATAACCACCACTCTCTGTTGTACATTCAAATTTTTGTCCACTATATCTTCAATATCAAGAGGCGTATGTTTCAACCAAAAATTCAATTCTAATCCTCCTTCTACAACTCCATTTATTGAACTCCATTCTATTCGCCATGAATTGATATCAGAGTTAAAATCTTCTACTTGCGCAGTTTAAATCCCCAACCATAAAATTATAGCGCCAAGAGATGCTGGAAGATTGACTTTCAAAGGCGGCCTTGTACTATGAAGTGAAAGGGGCGCAAACTATTGCACGATGGAGGGGATTTCGAAGGAAGTTTGAACGAGACAAGAACAAAGATAAAAAAAGTACTAAATTTAAATATAAATTAATAAATGCAAGGACACAACACGTAGTAATAGAATTAATTTTTCCATGTTAGCCAATACCAATTTACCTTTAGCAAAAATTAAGGAAAGAGCAGTAATTTTAGAATTGAGAAAACTACATGAAACTCGACTATGAAAATTGGAGTATCAAGCACCATAAAAATACATACGGTAGACTTA